GATGAAAAACACTGCAGGACGCTGGGCAGTCCCCATCCCACCCCTCCCTGCCTCTGACATCAATGGCTTAGGAGGTCACAGCAGTGGCAATCCCCTCTCCAAAACCATCACCCTCAGGCAGTGACACCTGGGAGAAACCCAGGGACACAGGCACTGGATCCAGGCACCAGTGGTAGAAAAGTTGGGGGAATTAGGAGTCATAAAGGAAGTGCTGAGAGAAGCTGGCATCCCCCAGGCAGGAAGGGGGGACAGAGGAGGGCACAGGAGCCACTGTGGGCTCCCAAGTGCTGCCTTCTTCCAGGAGCAGGGTCAGGCAGCAGCACTGGAATGGCCAGATGAGTAATTCTGGTTTGGGCCTCACTCAGTGCATCACCATTCCCAGGATTTCTTTCCTGATTTTTGTTTTTTTAATTGAAGCAGACAAAGAGGGTGCTGGAGGCACAACGGCTGTGCAGGCCCTGGCTGACCTGACCTACTCTAAAATAAAGCAGTGAGCCTTCAGTTATTGCTGTCTAGGGATTCTCCCTCCCCCTCTTCATCATCCACCATTAAACCTTTATCGGTTCACCGCACTGAGCAACTCCAGTTTCCAAAAACTTCCCCAAAAACACCAGGAGGAGAGGCAGGATCCCAAAATCCCACCTCTTCCCTCCGCCGCCTTGGCAAAGCCATCACCCAACCCAAGAAGCTGGATGCGGGAGACCCTCTCCTGCTCCTCCTGCTCCTCTCCAGGGTGGGGTTTAATTAATTAATTAACTCTGGGATAAACAGCCCGGGCGGTGCCAGCTGGGCAGGTCCTGGCTCGCCACATTCCTGCGCCGTGCCCCAGCGCCACCGAGCTCAGCTGTGGTGACAACAGGAGCCACCAGCCACCTCACCAGGCGTCCCCCCCTCGGCCAACTGCACCTGCACCCACCCCAAAGTGATGGCCACCCTTGGTTGTGTCGAGTTTGATGCTTTTTCCCCCCCTTGGGTTTTGTTTTGGGGGAAGCTCCCCGGATTCTTGCAGGGATCCCTCCTGGCTGTTGAGCTCGGAAGGAACGCAGGGTTGATCCTGCTCTCGTCTTCCTCACGGGGACAAAGTGTCCCCCAGCAAAGCAGAACACCCTGGCATGATACAGCTGAGATTCTTCCTGGAGGAAATGCCCACAGAAGCTGTGGCTGCCTCCATCCCTGGAAGAGATCAAGGACAAGCTGGACAGAGCTTGGAGCAGGCTGGGAGAGTGGAAGGTGTCCCTGCCTCTCCTCACCCAAACCATTCCATGATTCCACGACTGGGGAGGCACCAGGATCCATCACTCCTGACCACTGCAAGGTAGAGAGCCCAAAAATCCCTGCCAGCTGACCCAGGGCTGAGCCTCAAAGCTGTGAATTTCCTAGGTGAGATGTGACAACGTTAAGAGTTTCTCCAAAATCAACCCCGTGAATCAAAGAAGGGTCCCAGCTCAGAACTGCCAACGCCAAGCACAAGCCACGCTTTGAAACCCAAGCTCAAAATCCACTGTGTAAAAGATAAACAAAAGCCAAGCTTAAGCTTGCTTAGCCAGGAGGCTGAGCTACCCCAGCACAGATGTCTCCCCAAAACACCCAAGAATTTGGTGGCTGCTCTTTGGCCAGACAGGACAAGCCCATGCCTGGGGCTTTCTGGCACCTCTGCTCCCACCCAGCAAACCTCTCCTCTGCTTCTTCAGAGGTGGATGAGCCACTTGCACTGAGCAGCACAAGCCTCACCCCATTAGTTTCACCATTTTTGGGGTGAAAAGTTCTCACTCAGGGTCTTCCAGCTGATCAGGGGTTGCTGATGATGGAGACAAAGCAATGCAGAAACCCCCTATGCCTCCATGCGAGTGACCCCCCCCCCATCTCATCTGTACCTGGGGAATCATTTCCCTGGGGAATTCTGCTGTTTGCCAAACTGAATCCACAGAGCTGTTATGTTTAGAAACATCTCAACTGTAGCTCATTTGATTCCGTCATTAAAATTTAATATTAGCGTAAGCTTTGAGAAACCTGAGCTGACAGCAGAGACAGTGGAGGGGGAAGAAGTGCCCCAGCCTGGAAACTCCTACGAGCAGCTCTTGCTGGTGCCTGGCACTTGTCCCTCGTGCTGAAGAGCCCAACTCGGCTGTGTGAAGCCCGGCACAAAGATTCTCCTGACTTTTAGCACCTTTTTTCACAAAACAGAGGCTCCTCAGAGGAGCAGCAAAGGAACGTGAGCCACTTGGGTTCAACTGCTGGAGAGCAGGAGTTAAAGATGAGGTTCCTTTGCTCTGACAGCCTAACATGAGCTAAACCCATGTTCTTTCTTCTGTGGCACAGCTGGATCCGAAGCGATCCATCGGGATGTCCATATAAGCACAGGCTCCCAAACCACAGAAATGCCTTTCAGCTGCACTTGCTCTCACCAGAAAACTCAGGGCTGAATTCGATGACCCCTTAAAGGCTCCCTCCAGATGGGGTTTCTTACAATCCTGCCACAACCAACCAGTCCCTGCCTGGTTTTCCCACACTCCCACAACTCCAGCTCCACCCTGGATCGCTGTCCTGGCTCCTGACGGGAGCTGGTGAGGACCGGTCCCCAAAATCCCATCCACTCACTGAAGCAAAACCCCTCCTGCAAACAAAGCTTCCCCCTGAGCATGATCCGCCAGCTGCTTCCCAGCCTCCTGCCTCGTAGGAACCCGGCCAGGAGGAAAACTTACAGCAGGAGAGGGCTCATCCATCCCAAAGCCAGGATTAGTCCCTCTGTGACCTGGGAAAGGGGCTGGGGGGATAGAGAGGAAATGCACAAATGGCAGCTTTCCAAAAGTGAAGGAGGTTGTGGCCTTTTGGGGAAAGAAAAGGGAAAAGAAAAATACATGGGAAGCTTTCAGACATGAGCTGCTCCCAAAGTCATCCGTTCCCAGCCTCCACCAGAGCCTTCAATGTGTCTTCTTTATTAAAATCTGGACACAATGAGTCCAGAAGTGCCCACCTTTGTCAGGGCTCTATTGGCAACTTGCCTGGAGCCCCCGGGGCCGTGCCTAATTTGCATCTCATTTACACAGATGTTCATTAAAATTAATGCCTTAAGACATAATATCTGCCTGCATTTGATCCTTCTGGAGAGATGGAGCGCTCCCGGAGAGGCCCCGTCACCCCATCCCTCACCTCGGGGCACTGCCAGCATCAGCAGCTCCTCTGCTCCACCAGGACACGCCGGGCACGCCCCTGGTTTGCAATCCAAGGAGGGCAAGAGTGGTGATGTTGTGTTAGAGAGAGGATTTGTTGGGAAATCAAAGCAAGAGGAGCCCCCCGAGATGCCCACAGAGCACAAGCCAGGCTTTTCCACAGCCTCCCTCCTGGTGCCCTTCCAGGTGCAGATCAGGCTCTGGGATTGTGTTCCCCTTAGGTAGGAGCAGGAGGTGAAGCTGTGCCAAGATCAGCTCTGCAACCTTTAGGGTTTGTGTAAAAATCCCTGGGGATGAGCCGTGCACGGGAGGAGCGGAGGAAAGGAGGAATGAAGGAATGCTGCTGCAACCACCATTGCTCCATCCTCCACTCGTGCTTCTCCCTCGTTTCACTCCCAGCCATTACAAACAGCAAAACCTTCCCACCACGGCTGCAGCTTTCACCTCCACACCCACAAAGGCCCCAACTGCTCCACGATGGGCAGAGAATGACTCTTGGTAAGGACACCTCAGGCCCCCAAACCCCCTCGGCCCAGGTCACCCATGATTTAAAGGGTCATCCTCAAGGTCACCGAGCTTTGGACCACGTGCAAACCCCACGGTGGGTTAAGCTGCTCCTGCCCAAGCTGGGTTTTGTCATCTTTCCTAATGAAAGCTGCTCAGCCAGGAATAACCCCGTGTTCTGCAGGAAAGGTTCGCTGATTTTAAGGACTAAAACCTCCTTTTTGGATATGTTTGTTGCAAGTGACTCGGTGGTGTTTAATGATGAATTGAAATCCTTCCCATTGACATCAGCTCAAAGCAAGCTGCCCAACACAAGCCACACCATCAGGTGAGGTTGAATTTGCCCCATAAATACACTTCAGCTCTTTTTGTTTTGGATAGGCAAACCCCAAACCAGAAACACCTTGTCCTGGTGAAGGTTTCACAGAGCTGCTCAAATGGTGGAACGGGATCAATTAGCCATGAGATGAAAAGTAAATGGCTGTAAAACTGCCTCTCCCTCCCACCCTCCCATCAACACCAGGAAACAAGCAGCCAGATGTAAATCAGCCCAATCATCAGCTCCTGAGCACATCAGGAATAGAAGTTTCACAGCAAGAGAATTTCTAAGCCGTGTTAATGTAATTAATGTAGTGTAACAGCATGACCCACCAGCATAATACTGTACAGAAAAATATCAAACACACTTCAACTCTTCCCTCTCTCAGTGCTTCATGCAAGTCTTGATGGTCTCCATCAGCTCCTTGCTTGAAATGTGAACAGCCACATAAAATTTCACCTCGGTTTTATTTCCTTGTCTCACAGTTTATCTGTGGCTCTTTTTATACCCAAGGATCCCAAAATGGGTGTAATGTGTGGCCCAGACAGAGTGAACAGCAAACAGGCACAGTGGGCCAGGCAGAGCCAGACCTACAGGATAATCTGATGTGGACTAGACTCTCAAACAGTGCAAATTCACAGCTCAAGTGGACTCAAACCCCTCCCTTCCTCCCCCAAAATCTAAATGCCACCCACCTCAGCCAGCCCACGAGGTGCTGGCATGCCAACATCACACATCACCAGGAGAACAGGGATTTTCCTGCCACTCCCATCATCTTTCCACACCTTTTCACCACAGACTATCAAGTCCACCAGCAGGATTTCACATCCTCCACAGCAAGGACGTTTCAGTGCAGACCCACTCCCAGTCGCAGCAACAAAAACAACGGAGACGCCGCGGCTCGAAGCCCACCGAAAACCACAACGCCAAAAACCACTTAAAAAAAAAAAAAAAAAACAAAAACAAAACAACCCAAAAAAAAGAAACCATCACGGAATCAAACTTACCTTGAAGTCGGCCAGCTGCTGGTTGATGGTTTCCACCTCTGTCCCCACCACCCCCTGCAAGGCCTCGCTCTCCTCGGCCGCCGCCGTCATGCGGCTCAGCTCCTTCAGGCGGCTGTAGAAGTCCTCGACGCGGGACAGGGTGGTCTCCACCTGCTCCTGCCGGCTCCTGCCCCTCTCCGTCAGCTTGCTGCACTGCTTGCTCAGCGTCTCCAGCTCCCGCTTCAGCCCCAGCAGGTCGGGGCTGCCCTCGTCCTCCAGCATCTTCCTGCACTCGCTCTCCGAGGATTCCATGTCGCTTCTCAGCCGCTGGAGCTTGCCCAGGAAGGCGCGGACGTCCTCGGCCTGGGACTGGAGGCTGTCCGAGTCTCTGCCGATGGGGCCCATGCTGTCCAGCTCGTCATCCAGATCCGCCAGCTGGGAGAACATCTCCCTGACCCTGCTGTTGAACTGGCCGATCCCTTCCAGCTTGTTTTCCATGAGAGCACAGCAGTCGTTGACTTTCTGCTTCACAGCCTTGAAGTCCTGCTGAGCCACCTCAGCTTGGCTTAAGAGCTGGGAGCAGTCGGATCCAGCTGGAGCATCTTCTACCAGACCCTGAGTGAGGTTTTTCAGGTAATCCACTTGTGGCTCCAGGGTCTGCAGCACCTCCTGCTGTGCCCTGAGCTTCTCCAAATTCTTGTTGCTGCAGGCTTGTGGCCCCAGGGCATCGTAGATCTCCAGCTGGTGCTTGGCCCCTTCCAGCTTCTTCTCGATGTTCTTGAAGCTCTCCTGGAACTCCTTGAGCCTCTGGGACATTTCTTCAATGGAGCCAGTCTTGGTTTGCAGCTCTTCCGTGATGGCATCCATCTTCTGATTGATGCTGGCCTTCTCATCCCGGATGTCATCCTCGTCCGTCTGGGAAGCGTCAGTCAGGATGTCAGCAGCACTGTTGAGCATCTCCAGCAGGGACCGGCGCTTCTCCACGTCACTCAGCATGGCCTTGGACCTCAGAAGAGTGGCCTCCAGCTGCACTGGATCCAGGGTTACCTCCAGCTCTGCCATCCTCGCCTTGCAGTCCTCCACCCAGGGCAGGAGATCGTCCGCGTGCCGCTGGTACTTCTGAGCTTTCTGCAAGCAGTCCTTGAGCTTGGAGTGCCTGTCAGCAGCCTGTTTGCTGAGCTCCTCCCAGTGTGTTTTCAGGCTGACCAGCTGGTTCTGCAGAGTGGTCTTCTCCTCCCCAGGCTGGACTGAGAGCAGCAAAGATTCTCCCTCGGCCACGATCATCTCGTAGGAGCCGCTGTGTTGGTTGAGGCTCTTCTGGAACTCTTCTTGCTCCTGGATTTGGCTCTGCAGCCTCTCCAGTTTAGCAGAGATGGGTTGGCTCTGGGCTTGCTGGCACCTTTTGTCATCCAGCCAGGTCCTGAGTTCATCAAACATGTGCTGGAACTGCTGGGAGCTGGCGAGCGCAGTCTGCAGTCGGTTCATCCGGTCGGCTGGAACGGCAATGAGATTAGAAGGCGACAATTAAGCTCAAATCAAATAAGCGAAGTGCAATTATTTAAAATCATCTCAGATGCACCAACTGTGTTTTGATTAACAGGAAGGAGCTTTCCATTGCATCACCAGCCCTTTTTGCTCATTGATTCATAAATTTTTTAAGTCGTAAGAGGCAGCAGTAATGCACAAGTCTCAGCTCTTCTGGCCAGTCTCTAAATGTGACCTCTCAGACCAGAAGATCATCCCAAGGTCAGAGGGTGGCCACTGAATTTAGGAACCTGGCTTGTTTCCCAAGCATGTGCCACCCTGCTTGGTGAAGAGTCACATCAGTGGGGCTAAACACCTCTGCTCCCTCTCCAGGCTCAGGTATTTCTGGAGTGGGAACTCTCCCATGCTTGGTGCCACATAAAACAAGCAAGAAGAACCCTAAAAAGTGATAAATGGTGCTTCCCTGTTTATTTTCATAAACCCAGTGGTGGGAGAGCCCTTTAGCAAAGAGCAGGGGTGCAGCTCGACATCCTAACATCTTAAGCAACCCCTCTATCTCACCTGCCAGATCCTCCAACCCTTTGAGGGGAAGTGCCACCGTCTCCAGACGTTTCCTCAACTCATCTTTGAGGTACTGCTCCCCAATCAGGACGGAGAGGTCATCACAGAGGGTCTGAGCCTCCGAGATCTCCTCTTCCAGCTGCTCCAGGTCCGAGCGGATCTCACTGGTCTCCTCCAGCTGCTGTTTGACAGCATCAGGCTGGGTGCTGATGGCAGACTGGCTGCTCAGGCGCTGCCCCACAGCCTTCACCTTCTCTGAGAGGCCCTGGAGAAGCTCCTGGTACTGGGTGCTCTTTACTATGGCTTGGTCGATCTGGCTGGAGCGGGAGTTGAGGCGCTCGGTGAGCTCGGACCATTTCTGGTTGACCCCTTGGAGCTCATCCCGCACCTGGCTGGTGGATGGGGAAACATCTCCCGGGCCAGTCAGGATGCTCTGAGCTGCCTGGTTGAGCTGCTCGTGCTGTTGTCGGCGAGCTTCGAATTCCTTCAGCATAAACTGGAACAGAAATAACATAAAAATGTTTGCATAAAACTGACAGCTCCGAATACACACAGTCAAAACAAACCAGACCTCCAGGGGTTTTATCCAACCCATGGAATCAGCAGGAATAGGCCCTGGGGTGGGACAGCAGTTGGGCTGGGTAGCTCAGGATCTACTGTGACCTTGGGAGTTAAAAACCTGGGAGGGGTCTGCGACTCCAGGACTTTGCTGTCTCTCTTATTTGTCTTGTAATGTAGCATAAACCACTGAGATGAGATGAAAATCCAATTATCTCCACTGGGGCTTTTTTGCTCCATGATGTGGCTGGTTACAGCCATGTTAGGATTTGGAAGGAACGGGGAATGGAAGGTCAGGCTGGCAGGCAGAGGGGCAGCATTAACAAGTCCTGCAGAGCATCAGCACAGGCCTTGTTTAAATGAATTTCACTCTCCAAGAGGGGCCAAGTGATTCACGGCTGAGTCAACCCAGCGCAGGAAGGCAGCTCAGCACTGCACCCTTTCCAGGTTACTCACAGCGGTTTGGGCTCAGCAGGGTTTGGAATACTTGGAAGAGGAGCCATGAGGTCTCTGAACACTCACTGCACGTCAGAGAGCTCACAGGACACACACAACCTCCCCTGGGTGAGACTCTCTCCCCCATCCCGCGCCCACCACGGGGGCACAAACCCCTCTCACCTGCACCTGCTGCTTCTGAGCGTTCAGCATGTTGGGGTCGATGGAGAGGGGGCCCAGCACACTCATCATCAGCTCCTTCTCCATCAGCCAGGGCCGCAGCTGGGCCTCGGTGGCCTGGAAGGTGGCCAGCTGGCTGGCCGACTCCTCCAGCTTCTGCTGCCGCGCGGCCGTGGCCTGGCTGGCCCTCTCCCACCTGCAATCTGGAGCACAACCTCTTGTCGGCCGTGGTCAAGCTCCTGGCCAGCCCACCTCCCCATCACCAAGGTTGTTTTCCCCTCCTCGTGGTTTTCCCAATTGGAAATCTCTGTTTTTTAATAGAACTTAGCATGGCTCTGTCCACTCCCCCATCTAAGAAGCCATTACCCAAATTTAGCAGCTACACGGTCTGGAAGCTCCTAGGAGAAGACCTTGCAAGCAGGATTTCTGTGCTCTAGTCACTGCTGCCATCACCTTGGGTGAGCCACCTCACATTCCTGGCCCCATAAATGAGGGTACTCTCATGAGCACCCATTCTCACACAGCACACTCGGATCTCCTGGGATGGAGTCAACACGTTCCTGCCACTTCAAAGGAGGGAATCTCTGGGCTTCTTTCTGAACACACAGCCTTGTTTAGTCAACACCTAATTACCTAGGGTAGCCTCACTAATGACTAGAATTTTATATCAAGCAGTGAAGCTTTTAATCAAAACAATCAACCTGTGCCACTAACACATTTCCCTCCCCACCCCTTTTTTTTTTTTTTCCTTTAAGAAGCAATTTAAGGAGGCAATCCTTTAAAATCCACATCCATCACAGAGATTTTACTAATCACGACAGCGCTCATCTCAGGAACATCTTCCACACCAGACAGCTCAGAGATAGGTTTGCTATTTACTGAATTTTAATTAGAAGTGACTCTGCTCTAGCGTGACTTTGGGATCGCCCCACACTCCTGAACCACGTCTAACGTGATGTTTGGAGACAGAAGCCTCATTAATGCTTCAGGCACTTACTCAGGTCTTCCTGCATCTTCTTCCAGTTCGCTGCTTCTGGGGAATCTGGATATTTCTCCAGCAAGCCAGAAAGTGCTTCCTTTACCTTCTGGATCTTCCCAGAATTCTGTTCCAATTCAGCCAGAAATGCCTGGAAAAGAATGATTTTGACTTCCTCAGATACAGGGCAGAAGAATCACTGAGTAGGAATGAAGCAGCACCTACAAGCTGGAGCTGGATGATTTCTAATTTCTGTTCTTTGCTCTGTAGTTAAATCATTTTTTTAGCACTGTTGTGAGCTAACTTGGCCACAAGGGCAGGGAAATGCTGTGAATTGCTTTCCAGGAGAAGCTGGAGTGACCCAGCAGCAAAGGCTCCAAATAATCTCTGTTTCCCTCAGCCTGACATCAACAGGTCTAAAAGCAAAGGGGAACTTCGGGCTGCTGCTCCATGAATCTGCCAGGAATTCACAGAATTCACAGAATGACCAGGTTGGAAAAGACCTTCCAGATCATCGAGTCCAACCCAACCCTAACACCTCAACTAACACCCAGTGCCACATCCAGTCTTTTTTAAACACATCCAGGGATGATGACTCCCTCACCTCCCTGGGCAGGCCATTCCAGAACTTTATTATTCTTTCCATAAAAAACTTTTTCCTAATATCCAACCCGTATTTCCCTTGGCGTAGCCCAAGACTGTGCCTGGGAATGCCCTGCTTTAACTCAGGGCAAACCCTTGTGGCTAATTCTGTGCCATAAAGCCCATCTCTGGGATCCTTTGGGAGCTGCATGGCAGAGGGGTGGAACTGGATGACATTTAAGGGCTGTTTTGTGACCCTGTGATCCCGGCAAGCCGGGAAGGAGCAATCACCTTGTTGTGCTCAGCCTGGGCTCTCATCGTCTCCGTCTTGGTGGGCGAGGAGGAGGCCTCCAGCTCGGACAGCATCCTTTCCTTGGACTCCAGCCACTGGAGCATGGAGCTGGCCTCCTCCTGCACCTCCTGCATCCTGTCCAGCATGGCCGAGAGCTGCTGCTGGCGCTCCCGCAGCGCCGCGCCCAGCGCCTGGTACCGCCGCCTCGCCTCCGACACGTCGCGCTGGATCTCCGTCAGATCTGCCCCCAAAAAAACCAGCCCGGGGTCAGCACCGCTGCCCCCGCTCCCCAGCTCACACCATCAGCTCCTCAGCCAGCCCCAGAGAGCTGAGATGAGATGAGATGAGGAGCAAGCGCCACGCTCTGCCCGCCCGCATCATCCTCGCCTCTCCTGCCACGGGGGATTTTCCTCTTGTCCCCCCCGTCAGAACTCAGAATGTCCCTCAGACATTTTTGGAGGTTCCAGGCCTTGGTCAGAAGCATTTGAGACCCTGGCAGGCACCTGGAAACAGCTGTGATTTTGAGTTTGAGCCATGGAATGAGTTACCAACTTTGGAGGTGGAACAAGCAGTCACAAAGGGTTAGATGGGATAGTAAAAGTAGTTACAAAACAGAGGGGAAATTTTTTTGGTATGGAAAAGGGGGGTTTAACAACCGGAAAAGGGAGGTTTTTACTTTGTACATGGGGGTCAGAAGTTCTAAGATGGAGGAAAGTGGGCTGATCCTGTTCTTCCTCCTTCTTCTTCCTCACCTCCATGTTCTTGGTGATGTTGGCACTCACAGGTTGGTTTAGAGTAGAAAAGCACTTTGTAATATAGGTAGTAGGTATAGGGGGAAAACTGTAAACATGTAATACGTAATATATCATGTAAAAGATAGCAGCAGCCCTGGGTGGGAGAGCAGAAGCAGTTGGGAGTCAGAGAGGATGTCAGGGTGTGTGTGTGCCTCTGCCTGAGCTCTGAGCAAACCACAGCAGCCCCAGAAGAAAATCTTTTAGATAACTCACAATAAACTGCCTTGAGACCGAACAGCTAAGCCTGCGGAGTTTTTCTTTGGAAGCACGGGTTGGAGGAGGAATTTCACCACCACATGTGGCCCCAAAACAAGGCTGGGGTTCCCACACCCCCCGTGCCCTTTGACAGTTTACAAACAAAGCTCTCTGTTGGTGAGCTTGATGCAAACTGAGCTCCCTTTTCGTAAAGCCACTGCTAATACAAGGTTAAATAATTTGGCACCGAGATACGAAGCCGTTTTTATGCACCTATTATCTCGTTGAACCAGCGAACTAACAGCAGATAACGGGCAATAATTAAAATTGCTCTTCAAACTGGAGGGTTGGACACCATTATAATCCCACAGAAGCAATAAATTTAATTGCAGGCCTTAAAATGATCTCCCATTTATCAGCTCCTAACACCACCTGACGAAGTGTCGGGGTGCTGTCACTCCCCAAGGCTGCCCCTCTCCGTCCTTCAGCCTGATCTCCACCCTCCATCACAGCAGCTGAGAATTCCCAACCCATTGCCAAGCTCGTTTCCCTTCTGCTGGGGTGCTGATGGTGTCACGCTGAGGTTTGTATTCCCAGGGAATGGAAATGCATGGACAAAAAAGGGACAGGGGCATGGCTCAGTGGTGTTGACAGCGCTCACCTTTGCACGTGTGGTATCCGTTCACGCTGCCTCCTGAGCCTCCTGGAGTGGGCAGAGTGGCACCTGGGCAGAGGGGACAGGGACAAGAGGGACAAGACAGAAGTGTCAGCGATGCAGACAGCAAGTGATGGATGGCTGCTGCATGACAGGGACCACCAAGCACTGACACGGCATCTCCACCGCCCACCTGCCCAGCACTGGGCATTAATTTGGTTTGGAGCCCCTTCATCTCTCCTTCTCCTGCTCCCCTCACTTTCCTGGAGTTGTTCCTACCTTTGTGGAGCTTCTGAAGGTTCTGGAGCAGCTCTCCCAGCATCCCAACATCACCCAGAGAGCAGGGATAATGTGCCTGCTGCATGGGCTGCAGTGCTGGGGACCACAGGCCTGGGAAGCTGCTACCCTAAGCATGATTTTGTGATTTATACCCAATAAAACTGCTAAATGCCTTCCCTGAAGGGATTCATTCCCCCACATCCTCCTTTTTTGATGGGATGAGACTATTCAAACCAGCCCTGTGCTCATGCTGCCTTTGCCCAGAGATGCAGGATGCACCAGTGTCCCTTCTCTGGACACCAGATGTCACATCCAAAGGGAGATGCACATTTTCAGGCAAGTCTCTCTTTTCTAACCACGTATTTTAAAGCTTTCCTGGACATGAGGGGCTGCACCTTTGGTCACCCACAAGCCTCTCCTCACTTCTCCTGATGGTTTCCCAAAGAACTGCTCATGAACTTAATCCTAACAAACAAATCCAAACCATAAATTCCCATCAGTGATGAGAGTCCAGGGACTTGTTCTCACAAGCTGGAAGACATCTTTGAGCTGCTTTCCAAACGAACCAGACATAATCTCATTGCTTCACAGACTTGAAGCCAAAAGGGAGACCAGGAAATCTCATCTGACTATCAGAGCCCCAAATGTCATCCAGATATGAAACCCAAACGCTGGAGGTTGATTAAAACACTGCAGCCCTCAGGAGGCTGAAGAACATCACCAGGAGAGAGCACGAGCCACTTCCATGAGCTCCCAAGCTCTACCAGAGAGTGATATTTGTCCCCACAGCAAACACAGGGCTCGTTAGGCTACAGTTAATTAAGCTAAGTCAGGATGATGCATTAAAGCAATGAGTGCCAGTGACTCAACCACTGGGCTGAGCCCCATGATACTCAGATCACCACAGGCCCTCTGAATTTGGTTAAAAGGGGGAAATAACCAATTTTTTTTTTGCTGAAGGCAGGCTCAGAGAAGGTGCAGTGGTGACAGCAGAGTTGTCCTCAGGAGCGCTGGCCACAACTCACCTGCCTTGGGCGGGGTGCTGGGGGCCGTGATCTCCACGATCAGGTTCTCCAGGAGGGTCCCTCTGCGGCCAATCTCCTCCACCTGGGGCTCCTTCCCCTTCCATTCCTCCAGGAGATCCTGCTCAAAAGCAAAGATTGGCACTGGAGGCCACGTTTGCCTGGCCACTGTCCCCTCTGTGGTGACACCAAGGACACAGCACCCAGGGAAGCAGCTCATGGCTGCACTGGGGGAAGTGGGTGTGACACATCTATTTTTGCCAGGGGGGAATCAAACAGCAAAAAAAAAGCTCTTCCCAACTAATGGGTCTGCTGAAGGAAACCTTCTCCCTCCCACCGTTCCGGGGACATCCCTCCTCCCCCTCCCTGCATCCCGGGTGCCGTGGAGCTGCTCTGCCTCTGAGTCAAAGCCCAGCACATCCTGATTTATCACATCCCTCTGCTGCAGCACGGCGGGGGCTCGGGTGAACGAGGCCGCCTTCCACACCCACCACGGGAAACATTCCCAAAAAACCGGCGTGCTCGGCTCTCCCACTCCCAAATCCCAACCAGAATTGGTGCAGGGAGTGGCAGGAAACCAGGCAGTGCCCAAGGAAGCTCTCACACTGCTCCCTGCTCTGCAAGCCACTGGATGCACGCTGAGACCCTAAACCACCTCCCAGGCCTCTGCTTGCTGGGGTTTGTTTCACATCCCAGCATTTCGACCCTTTCCCAGCTTGATTCCAGCTTCCCTTGGCCCACCTGGACCTGCTGCCTGTGCTGCTGCAGCTCCTGGGTGCCCAGGGAGGTCTCGGCAGGTGGAATTTTGCCTTCGCTCTCCCTCAGCCACTTCCTCATGGCGCCAACCAGATCCCGAAACTCATCCAGTTGCTCCTGGCAGGATGATGCATCCTTTTCTCTGCGAGTGAAAAGGTTTTGGAGAGTCAGAGCTCGTGCTCTGCCTTGCAATTACCCCCTCCTGAATGCAGCAGGGTTGTGTTTCTAGGAGCCCATTTTATAATTATTATTATTATTATTATTAGATGTTGCCTGGGAACAGCACAAAACGGGGTGCAAGCAGTGCCAGCCCCTCACTGCTGCTGACCCCCTCGAATCCTGGCTGGTGGCACTTTTGGGCACTCCAGTGGTGGCCAACAGCCACAGGACCACCACTGCCAAGCTGCCCAGGCTCTTTGTCCTGGGAAAATCAACACTTTTGGGAAGACAGGGCTCATTCATGCCGTGTCCCCCCAGGCTCCTGCATCCCGGGGAGCCCAGGCTGTGCTGCCCCTCCTCCCTGGCCACAGCTCCGGCTATTCAGCCCACCCTGGGGAACAAGGCAGCCCCTGGGTGGGAGTCACGGGCCCCTCTGGCTCCTCCGTGCTGCCAGCAGCTTCGAGTGGCCTGCCCAGCCCTGAATTACTGGGGATTATTGGGATTGTGGTATTGATGATTCCAAAATTGCAAAAAGTCTCTGACTGTCAGCCCCACAGCCAAAGAAGAAGCCATAATTGGTCTGTGCTGGTTTCCAGGTTGTTTATTCTGTTTATCTCTCACATGTTCTGCTGCCCTGCCCAGCTCTGTCCTGCAGGGCAGCGTGTGGGGCTCTGCCCTCAGTGGGATNATCTCTCACATGTTCTGCTGCCCTGCCCAGCTCTGTCCTGCAGGGCAGCGTGTGGGGCTCTGCCCTCAGTGGGATGTTACAAACATTCAATACCAGAAACTCCCTGGGCTGGATTTACAAGAACGTGCCAATATCTGTCACCTACGTTGGACAGTGTGTCCCCAGCCTGAACCAACAGAAAAATGCCAACACCACAGTGAGACATGGAGGGCATGAAGAAGGAGAAAAAGGACAATTTCCTCCATCTGGTCCCCTTTGGACCCCTCATGTAGAATCCTAAAATTTTACTTTTGCACGCGTGCCACACTTAATTATTACTGATATCAAACACTCAGAGCTGGTAATTCATCCTGTAAGATTGAAAACTCTTTTCCATGGACACAGATTTTCCATGGACAGCCAGTGTCTCTGGGGGCTCTGTCCAGGGGGGTTCCTGACCCCTGCCAGGGTCCCAGACCTGCCAGGACAGCCAGAGAGAAGCCCTGGATTCCCACAGGGAGTTTCATCTGCTTTTCCCCACCACCTTCCCTGCATTCCGCAGGGATTTTGGAGATGCAGCCAGAGAGGGGTGGCTCCCAGGGATGCTGCTGCTCTGACCCTGCTCAAGCTCCCTTTTATCCCCATTTCAGGCTGCTCTGCTGTCACCTCGCTTCCCCATCCTCCCAACAGCCAGCAGGCTGCTCTGGGATGGAGCTGTGAAACGCAGAGCTCCTGCTCCTGCTGCAGCACCAGGAATTTTTCACAACGCCCCCAGCCAAGGCTTTTTTTAAAGCGTCAGCTGGAGCAGAGCTGCCTCAGGATCCTGGCGTGGGAGGAGGGTGGCAGGAAGAGCTGGCTCATGCCCCCCCATCCTTGGAAAGGAGATCTCCACAGGGCCTTGCTTGGACCATGAAGCCACCCCCAAGCTCCCCTCTGTGGGACTCACCTGTCTTTTGCCACCTTTTGTAGCTGCAGGAAATCTTTCTTCAGACTCTGCAGCTTCTCCTGCTGCTGGAAGGCGCCGGGGGCGAAGCCACAGGAGCTCAGCTCCTCGGCCAGGTGCTCCAGGGTGGCCAGGTCCTCCTGGTGCTGCCTCATCTCCGAATTCAGCTCCTGCCAAGAGCGAAGGGTGATGCTGACCGTGTCCCCCAGCAGCAGAGGGGATGAACTGGGCAGCCCCACACCCCACTGAGATGGACAGAACCCCTGTGGGCAGCGTGGCACCACTGCCAAATGTTGGGCACAGCTCACTGCCACCTGCTCCTCCAGCTCAGCAAATACTTTGAGCAGCTGCAGGGGCAAATCCCACTTTCCCCAGTGCTGGTGACTGGGATGGGATGGGATGGGGAGCCCTAGATCAAGCTAAATCAACCCCTGCCACAGCACAGGTGTCTGGTTTCATGTCATCTTCCAGCATTTCTGAGGCTGTGGATGAACCACCCCCTGTGGGAAGCCAGAGGGAGAAATCCTGCATGGCCACCATGGCCCACAGCACCCCTGAAAATGTCCAAGACAACCCGAAACAAGCTGGTCTAGTGGAAAGCATCCCTGTCCCTGAGAGGGGGCTTGGAATGAGATGATCTTTAAGGTCCCTTCCAACCCAAACCATTCCAGGATTCTCTGGCTCTAAGACCTCCAAGGTCTCTGTCACATCCTGCCAGCACAGGGGTATTTTGCTGTATGAACCCCACGGAGTCTCTAAGTGATAAAATCCTGCTACGTTTGGAGTGGATCCTATAAAATCCCATCTGAAAAGCAGCCTGGCTCTTCGGAAAGCCAACCTGGACCTTCCTCAGCCACCTGGTGCAGGCAGAAGTCGTCCCCCAGGGCCTCACCTGGATGTGCTGGGAGAAGTGGGCGATGTCGTGGTCCGGCTGATTCCCGGCCGCCAACATCCGCGTCCTGCTCTCGGTGAACTGCTGCAGCCTCTCCCACAGCTGCTCGTACTGCTCCACGGTGGGGAGGAGGCCCTTGAGGGCGTCCTCCCTCTCCTGCTGCTGCTGGCACAGCCTCCCGAAGCGCTCTGTCACCCGGGCCAGCTTGTCCTGCAGGGCAGAGGCCGCGGGGCTGTCGGCCGCCTCTGTGAAACGTGTCACCATCTCCCGGGTGGCTTCCAGGCAGCTCCTCTGCCTGGCAATGTCCTGCTTCAGCTTCTGTGGGGAGCACGGGAGGAGAAGGGAGGGTTTTTAAAGGAAGTTTCTCAAGCAGAACTAACTGGGAGCTCTGACATAACCAGAGTTGGGAAAAAAAATAGTTTTATATCCCGTTTTTCCTGTCTTTTCTGACCTGCCCAACATGCTCCGCTTTTCCCTGTGTCTGAAATCTTGTTAGGAAAGAAAAAAAATGTAGATTTTCAATGAGTCTGCAACCTTGCACAGTTTGCCCAGAGATGCTGGAGCTGCCCCATCCTTGGAAATGTCCGAGGCCAGATTGTACAGGGCCCTGAGCAACCTGGTCTAGTTGAAGGTGTCCCTGCCCATGGCAGGGTGTTGGAATTAGATGGTCCTTAAGGTTCCCTCCCACCCAAACCATTCGGTGATTCTATGAAAATAAGAACATTCTGCTCCTATTCCTTTTTAGGGTTTTTTTGGTGCTTTCAGCACGCAGTAGTTACCCCTGCACGGTGCAGGTGCTGCTCTGGGGTGTTTGGGGTGAGGGAGCTGGGCCCAGCCTTACCACACTGGTGGCAAGCGAGTCCTGGATGGAGGCAGAGGAGAGCACAGCAGGCTGGTCCTTCTCCAGGCTCTTCTCAACCTCAGCCACCGACTGCAGGAGGCTCTCCAGGCTCTCCTGGACGCTCTGGGACTGGGCGATGGATTTCTGCAGCAGGTCCGAGCGCTCGGACATCTGCTGGGAGAGCCTCTGGAAGCGGCTCACGATGGCATCTGCAGGGTTCAGCGCAGAGCACGCTCAGTGGCACAGAGCTCCAAGTGCTCAGAGAGCACCTCTGGCTCCCCCAAAACTCTCAGTGATGGCAAACCCCCGTCCCCAAACTCGGCAGCGAGACCAGGGACGCAACACAAGTGGCCGCATCCCTCCCCCCACACGCACACACAAACCCTGAGGATGCACTGCCACGCGGTTACCCCCAAATTCCCCAAAAAAGTGATTTATCTCTGCCCCCTCTGGCTTGTTCCCACTCTGCCCAACCCTCCCTGCCAACGCTGGCAGCTGCTTTGCTCTGTACCTGTTGTTTCCTGAATGTGGCCGTGGTCTGGGGCTGGCTCCCCTTGGATGTCCAGCAGGGTCCGAGCTGCTTTCTGGAGCTTCTCCACTGGCACCTGGTGCTCAGCCAGGTCTCCCTGCAGTTGCTGTTTGCACACAAGACCAGCCAAAATCAGAGATTAATCCCAGGCAGGATTGCCACACTCATGGAGTTCACAGCTCCTTTTACACCCTCGGAGGTTTCCTCTGCACTTCATCACTAAATCATTAAGAAATTATGGAAAAATCTACCCCCACACTGCAGGCAGAGCTGGATCAGAGGGTTTGGGCTGTGCCAGTGCTCTGGCACCCTCATGAGGGAGCAGTGTCCCCCTCTGTGTCCCTCTGGGGTGTCTGTGCCTGCAGCCCCTGCTCCTTACCCTGAGCACCTCTCCCAGATGTTTGACCCCACCTGACCTGCAGCACCAGAACCTGCAACATCTGCAGCTGCATCTTTGCCCTCAACCAGCAAAAAAAAAAAACAAAAAACACCACCAACACGTCAAGTCTCCTTCCTGCTGCTGACAGCTCAAATTCTTGCACTTCCCAGGAAATCCCTCAGGTGTACCTTGGTGCTGGCCAGCTGCTGCTGCAGCACGGCCAGGTCTGAGGAAACCGTCTCAGAGAGCAGCTTCCCGAGGGCAGCTTCACTCTGCTGCAGCCACGTCCTGAGAGACTCTGCCACCTCCTGGAACTGCTGGTAGTGATCCAGCAAGGTGTTCAGGTGGGAGCCCAGCTTGGAGCACTGCGAGGGAGCAACGAGAGGTGACGGGGATGCACACGAGCACCGAGCAACCCGTGGGGAAATGCACAAACAGCAAGAAAGAAAAAGCAATTTAAAAAAATCAATCTTGCCACACAGGCTAAATGAATTACCAGAGGGAACATGCAGACCAACAGCAAGACAAGGGTGTTGCCCATGCCCTGAAGAAGACAATCGTTGTCCTACAAGCTATAACTGTCCTCACAGCCGGGACAAATATCCCTCCCCAAATATCCTCTGCACAGCAGGAAAAGACGCAGCTCGCAGCCCAGCCCATACCTTGGAGTGCAGTGTGGTGTATCTCTGCGTGGCATCCTCCAGCTTGCTCTTGACCACCCTCCTGGACATCTCCAGCTGGGATTCATCATCCCCAGCATCCCCATCGAGAAACTTCTCCCCCGACATGGTGACGAAGCGCAGGTCACCCTTGTGGGAGATGACATCCTCCGAGAAGCTGCCCTGGCGCTGCAGCAGCTGCCTGAGGGAGGCAGGCTCGCCGCCCCCTTGGCACATCCCTTGCAAATCCCGCTCCGCCTGCTCCAGCCAGGCCTCGAACTCGCCGTGGTCCCGCAGGAACTTCTGCAGCTCCTCCCGCAGGAGCTGCGCCCGCTTCAGCCGCGCCTCGGCGCGCGCCAGCGAGGCCGGGTAGCGCTCCCGGAGCTCCGCCAGCCGCGCCCGCAGCCGCTCCCGCTCCTCGCCGGGGCCCTGCCTGTCCAGGAAAGCCTGTGCTGCCTGCCAGGCCAGGATCACGTCCTGCTGCTGCGACAGCAGCTCCTGGTGCTGCGCCTGCAAGGGACAAAGCCACGCTCGGAGCTGTGGCAGCAGCTCGGAGAGCCAGCACGGACCCGGTCGGGTGTTTTGCTGGGGGATGGTCAGAGGGAAGAATGAGAAACAATTCTTATCTCCACTTGTTGTCGTGCAGGTGTGGGGTGTGTCAGTAAGAAATCACCGGAGGGTGATTTCTGTGATTTCTTAATTGGGCGCTGGATGGTGTTTGGATGGGTTGGTCACTTAGGTCAAAGCTGTATTGGACTGGCAGGAAGGCTTAGGGAGTTTCTTAAGTAGTATAACATACTATAAGCTGATATAATAAAGCAATTGATCAGCCTTCTGCAATCATGGCCTTCTGCAATAATTAGTCAATGCTAATTATTCCCCGGCTGGTGGCCTGCGGTGACACTGCCCCACATGCACGACCCGGCCTCTGCGTCCCCCAGCAGCTGTGGCTGGGCCATCCCTGGAAGGGTTCAAGGCCAGAGTGGAGCAGCCTGGTCTAGTGGGAGGTGGGAGTGGAGCAGGATGATCCTTAAGATCCTTTCCAAACCAGTTATTTTCATGGTTCTGTGACAAAGCACCAGCAGGGTGGGGAAAACTGGGAATGCCCCGGGTTGGGCTACAGGAGTTCTGCTCACAGCAGGGTGACCCCTCCTGTGGCCACCATGGGCACCTTCTGGACCCTGATTGCACCTTGGCACGGCACACACCCACCACACATTCTGCATCTCCTGCAGGAAGCCGGGCAGGAGCTTCCCACATGGAGCATCCCATGTTTCAGAGCCAGCTAACAGCAGGGTCAGGGCGTGGGGCAGGAGGCTTTGGGTGGGACAAGGTGTCAGTGCTGACCTTCAGCCTCTCGTAGTGCTCATCCAGGCTCTCAGCAGCACGGTCTGCTCCCACAAGGTGCCCGTCAGGGACATCCCCAGTGCTTTTTCCTGCTTGTGTCCCCGTGCCTTGATGGACAGGGTGTGGTCTGTACTCTGGGAGCCCTCCCTTCTGCTCCAGAGATGCCACCCAGCTCAAAAGGGAATCGATCTTATTGCTGTTCTCCTCCAGCTCTTTGGCAGCTTTCACCTGAAAGTACAAGGGCTCCAGTTAAGAATGACCCAGTTCTTGCATGTTCAGCAAACTGCTGCACGGGGGAGACAAAAATCAGCAGAAGAAAAAAAAAAAAACAAAACAAAAAAACCCGAGGAGTTTCCCAGTCTCAGCAAATGCCTGAAACACCCCCCGACCCTTTGTGGCTCTCTGGAAGGTACAAAGAAGCTGTGAAAAATCTCAGCCTCGCTGCTACACTGAATTTCTCATCCTCACACAACCCAGGGCCCCCACCCCAAAAGGGCTGGGGTGTGATTGACAATCCTCACCCATCAGGGGTCACCCAAAGGCAGAGTAAGGGACTTTTCCTCCCCCATTCCCTCCACAACCAGCTCATCCCTGGCTGCAGCTCCCAAGGCATTTCATGACAGAAATATCTGGGGGAAGCCTGGCCCGGGGAACACCCAGGAAGGAACCACAAATTGCTCTGTGCTGCATCACCCAGATGGGCTTCCAGGACCTCACAGTCCCCCTCAGGCAAAGCCTGGAGGCTCTGAAGCTCCTGGCACGTTACCTTCTCAGTCTCCTGCTGCACTGCAGCACTCACAGCACTCTCCAGCTCCTTCTGGGCCACCTCCGTCCTCTCCTGCAGGGACTGGTACTGCTCCTTGGCACGCTGCAGGTCCTGCTGCAGTGCTGCCAGCTCCCCGGGCTCCAGCTTGGCTTTGTTCTCCTCCAAAAACTGCTCTGTGCTCTTGAGGAGGCCGGCGAAGGAGGCGGCTCTGCTGTGCATGCTCCTCTGCAGCTCCTGGGTGGGCGACGCCGTGAGGCTCTGGCCACTCCCGAGGTGAAACTTCTCCACCTCTGCCCCCCCAAATTTTAAATATCACTGACCTTAACATCGCTTTGCCTCTGCTGCAAGGCAGGCAGGTCTCCCTCTGCTCTCTGCTGCTCTGCCAGCGTGTCCTCTGCTTGGCCCAGCCAGCGGCTCAGCTCGGCCAGGCTCTGTGCCCGGGCTGCCTGCTGCTCCTGCAGGGTCTGCGGGACACCAAAGGGGACAGGGGACAGTCAGGAGCAGCCCTGCACCTCCTCCCACGCTGCTGAAAGGCAAGGTGAGGTTACAGCTGGAGCAGCTCCTGGAGGGGAGGATGCAGCACAGAAAACTTGGTGGCTCTCCAAGTGCTCCCTGTCCCTGCTGAGCTGGTGGCACCTTTGTCACCGTTGGAGGTTTCTCTCTGAGGAGCCTGTTGCTGGGCTGCTCTCCCAGGAAAACTCAGCCACGAGTTTCTGTGCCTTTCCCATTGTACCTCACACACATCAAAACAGCAGCAGAAACTCACTGGATGAGAGGCAACAATGACCTGGGTCAGGCAGCGCCACTGTGGAGCCCCAGATAACACCAAATTAGGGTTTTTTTTTAATGATTTGGGGTTGGAAAGGGAGCCCTGGAGAGGGAAAGTGTTTCTGTAGCTGATCCAGCTCCTCTTTTTGCTGCCAGAGCATAACACAGAAGCGCCTGTTTGAGCAATTGAGCATGATGTGACCTGAGAGTCCCTGTGACACCCCTGTCCCCCTCTGCCAGGGGGGATAAAAGGTTTTTGAGTTTTTCACTGAGCATTTCAGCAAGGTGATGTACAAACTTGTGCAAAACACTGTGCCTGTTTCTCCCAGTCATAAGATAAAACAACAGAAGCAAATTGAAAGAGCCTTCTTAAGAGCTCTTCAGCTGCAAAGCGAGTTCTTCCTGGGTTAGGATGGGCGCACACTCAATCTGAAAAGGCAAAGCAAACTGGTTAATACACACACACACTCCAGGGAGGACAGGCAAGAGTTACAGAGAGCAACTGTTAATTAAAAAACACATTAATCCTGTCTTGGATGAGAGGATCCATGCAGTGGTGGGTGCTGCAGCAGTGCAGCAGAGATCTGAGGACTTGTTTTTTGTCCTTGCCAGCTGTTTCCCTGGGACAGCAATGCCTGATATGTGCAGGGGAAACAGGACATTGGGTGTCTGTGGTGGCTCTTCTGCACAGGGATTTTGGGGCTGATTACAGGGTTTATTCCCAAACAATCCCATATCTAACACAGAACTGCTACCCAGACCTCGGCAGGGCTCCTTATTTTGGGAGCAAAGCAACCTTCTGCCTGGTAGGAAGAAGAAAGACTTTTAGAGGAAGCTCACGATGTGCAGTGAAAACTCCTAAACTGGGAGTGGCATGCAAGGGAAATCCCAAATTTGAGATGCCTCAGCTCCTGTTCCTGTGGCTGGGAAGCACTTCAGCGAGCAAAGGGCAGCCAGGGAGGAGAAGTCTCACAACCTTCACCTGCTCCGTCTGCTCCACTCGCTGGAGACAGACCTGCAGCACCTCCAGCCGTGCTGTCACACGCTCTGACAGGTCCCTGAAGGCTTTCTGCAGCTCGTTGAGCAGCCTCAGCAGCTGCCTGCTCTGCTGGGGGGTTAAATCCTGGGCGTGCTCCGAGATCAGGAACTGGATGTCGAAGGCAGCGGTGTCCAGCTCAGCCTTGGTGTCAGCGAGGGGCTCCTTCAGCTCCTGAATGGGAGAGAAAAAACAGCTCAAACGACCCTGCAGCCAGGGCTCTGCTGCACTGCTTCCCATCTGCGGGTGCCACAGGAAATGTATTCCAGAAACTCCCCCAAATATATTCACCAAACTCTCCCAAAACAGCATTCAGCATGGAGGTGAGAGCATCTCGCCACAGGGGTTTTCCAGCTTCCCTCTGCACCTCACCAAGAGGTTTTTTGGATGTGTGTAGGGCTGCCCTTGGGTCTGAAGATGACCCAAACCTGGCCACAGTGACTCCACGTGCCACCACCAGCTCTCAAAGCCTTCAATCCCCTGATTTCCATGCCAAGATGCCACCACCACGCTTGGAAATTATCTTTATGGCTAGAAGAGGGATGAGGAGACTGGGGCTCCTCGTACAGGTGATGGAGAGGATGCAGCTCTCTCCTCAACAGCCTGACAGGAATCTCCCCAGGTCACTCAGCCACCACCACAGCCTTGCACAGGAGCACGTCCAAACAACCAAACCATGTATCACGGAAACAAAGGACTTTGGAGAACACTCTGCTGCAGCACCAGCTAACAGCAAACCCTTGGTAGGGGAGAGAAGCAGGATTAAAAGCTTCTCCTCTCTGTGCAGAGGGCACCAAGTTCATCAGGCTGCAGGATTAGGGGCATTGCCATGGTTACCTTGTAGTGCTGCAGGCAGTGACTCAAGCTGCTGGCATCGGTGGCCTGCTGGAGATCGCTGTCATCCAGCGACGCCGTGGTGCCAGACACCCAGCTCAGCAGCTCCTGCAGCCTGCCCTGAAGAGCCTCGTGCTGGGCCAGGATTTTAGCCTTAAAAGCAGAAAAATCATTGTTTCAAGGAGGAATTTTAGGAAGCTTGTGGGGCAGCAGGGGGGCAAGTTGCCAGCTCTACCTTTTCAGCTTCTGCCGCCCCACGAAGGTTTTGCAGCCGGGACTGCAGGACTTCACTTGCAGAGCTCAGAGACTTCTGGAGGTTCTTGGCATCCTTCTCCAAAGCCTTCAGCAACTGCTCAGGGACTTCTTCAGGGGGGTTGGCCACAATCCTCTGCACAGCATCCAGCTCCTGATTCACTGAGAAGCTCAGCTCCTGCAGCTCAGCTCCCAGGGCCTGAGACAAAGACAGCATCGTTACGTCTGTGACAGGGTGACTTCACCTCCCTGCTGCCAAAACCCAGCAGGGGTTTTGGAGAGGCAGCTCCAAACACTGAGTCTAGAAAAATTCATCCCACCCTCCAGCCCTGCTCAGCTGCCAGCACTCTCCTGCCTTTCTGCAGGCTGTAAAATTCACGTTGTCTGGGCAGGGTGGATGGGAGAAGGAGGGATGAGGTTTGATATAAAACCTGTTAAACCTGAGACAAAACTCCCAGAAGCAGGGAGGGGTGCAAGGGCTGTGCAGGAAGCTGGGGAGAGGGGGAAAAGCTCTGTCTAACACCAGCCAAGCCTGGCCCAGCCTCACTCACCTCTGCTTGCTGCCTCAGGTCGTGCAGGGCTGCCAAATTCTGCTCCGCCGGCTGCACCCGTTTGATTCTCATCTCGATGTCTCGGAGCATGGAGAGATAAGATATCAGCCTCTGGTCGTGCTCCAGACACATCTTCTTGCTGAACTTGATCTGCACAATCAGACAGGAAATCAAAGCTTCAAACGTAGGCAGAAAAGGAGACAAAGTGTTCTATAAATTTTTTTTTTTTTTTTTCTCCAAAGGAGAAATTTGTTAATAACGTTCCCGCTCATGGATTTGCCACTTGCCAGCCTTATCTACAAGATTTACTACAAGAAAAATAAAACACACAGTTCTTTTTCCAACATAAGCTTATAAACGGCAAGAGATCTCTTGGAGCTGCAGCAAAAGTGCCAAAAATAAAATAAAAAAAGAGTTCTACTTGTTAGTCATTTAGCAGTAATGCTCCAGCAAAAGGAGCCACAACTCAGCTCTGAATGTTTCCAGTTGTACATCACCAGTTCCTTTGCCAAATCCACTGCAGCTGATACTGCAACATCCACTCCTCACGCTCCAGCTGCCCTCTGTGCCCAGGACCTCAGTCAGATTTAGCACCAAACACCCACAAATAGCTGAGAAAAATTGCCAAAAGAGCAAAAATATTCACTGACCTGGGCTGGTCGCGTGGATTCCCTCGAGGTTTCCAGCAGCTCCCCCTCCATGATCACAGGTAAGAGCAAACCCCGGTCACCCGGACCTGGCTGCTTGCTCCTCTCCTGGGGGGGCTCTTCTTGGGATTTTGGGGGAGCAGGGGCTTGCTCTGCTCTGAGCTCAGCTCTTTGCTCGTGCTCTTTCTCCTCTCCAAGCCCCAGGACTGCAGAAGTTTCCTGACCTTCTGTGGGCTCCTCTGTGATAATTAAGTCAGGGGGCAGTTCCCGTGCCACGGTGGCTGTGCTGGACACATCCCGGGTGGTTTCCACCCTGGTGTCTTCCTGAGCCATCCTCTCCTCCAGACTCAGGGCCACCAAGGAATCGTGACCATCCTTGATCCCACCTTTCACCACCTCGTGCTCAGGGGGCACAGGGAACCCCTGATCCTCTCTGGGGGTTTCTGTGTCTTTCCCAGGAATTGTTTTCTTTCCTTTTCCACCCTTGTGCTTGGCTGTGTCTCGCGCCAACCCAGCAGCAGTCTCGGTGCTGGATTCAGGTTTTGGCTCTGGCACCCTGGAGACAAAGTGCTCCTCCTCACCCTTTTTCCTTGGAATTTCATGGGAAACCAGAGAAGGAAGGAGCTGCTTTTCTGCAGGCTTCTCTGGCTGAGTGCTGTCTCCTGGAATGCTGCCCTGCTTTGCTTTCTTTTTCTTGCTTTTCTTTTTCTGGGTAGGTTTCAGCTCAGTTTCACTTGATTTTTCCTGATCAATTGGACCTTCTGTGCCAGAGGTTTCTCTTTCTGTGCGTTTCACAGCTTTTTTCCCTCCAAGCTCATCTCCCACAGGAACACCAACCTCAGCGGGTTCTCCAGACTCTGCAGGGCCCATCCCTCCCTTCCCTGGGCTCACACTGACAGATTCCCTCAGAGCTGCTGGAGGCTCCTGGACCACGCTGGTCACTCTTTCTCTTTGCCCAGAAGTCACCACTGCACCTTCTCCACCTGCCACAACTCCCTCTTCACTCACAAACTCTCTCCTCCTCTCCTCACCATCCTCCCTGTGAGGCACCTCTGTGCCCAAGAACTGCTCCTTCTCCAAGCCCAGTCTCTCTATTTTCTCTGTCCCTCCATCCACTTCTTCCCTGGATTCCTTGCCCCGGGCTGCTCCCACTTGGGAGTTGCCTTTTGGGATCCCTTTTTCCACCACTGCCCCTTCAGGGAGCGACGCTGTCCCCAACACTGAGGGGTGCTCTGGAGTCACCTCAGCCTTTGCCTGGGGGTGATGAAGACGATGATGGTCGTCCTGGGGATGGACACCACCTTCTGAAGCTTTCTGGGGTTTCCATTTCCTTTCTGTCTGTGCTTTGGGGGATTTCTCAGTGGCTGCAGCAGCAC